TCAATCTGAAGTACAGAAATTAAGAGAGGGTAATATTGGGTTCATAGAAACTTTGAAAATGGGGGGACCTCATCATTCCAGAGGAAGGACCAGATCAAGATCTCAGCCTTCCCCCCACAATAATAATCCCCCCAATGAATAATATGCTTTGTTGGAATATCCGGGGCATTGCCCACCCTCAGTCTTTAAAAAGACTGATCTATCTCAATAAAAAACACAAGTTGTGGTGCTTTACTATACTTGAACCTTTGGTTCAACATAATTCTCAGTGAATTCTCCAAAAATTCCCTGGTTTCTCACATTATGCTAGCAAAAATAATAAAATTTGGTTCTTTTGTAGGAAATAAATTCAATGGAGCATTATTATAGACCATCATTAGTTCATGCATTTCTCCCTGATTGTACAAGGACATTTGGAGTATGCCACTTTTGTTTATGCTGACAGTCTGAAAGCTGATAGATAGGAATTATGGGAAGGCTTACATCTCATCAACCAAAATATGAACTCCCCTAGGATAGTGGGGGAGATTTTAATTGCATCTTTGATGCAGCTGAGAAGTCTTTAGGGAGACCTCCCAATTTCTCTAAACTGACTTATTTCAATGATCAAATACAGCAAGCTGGTTTGTTTGATTTGGGGTACCAGGGCCCTAAGTTCATTTAGAAGAGGGGTGCTATATGGGAAAGACTAGACAGGATGTTAGTTTATGACCGCTGGCTGAAACACTATCTCCTTACTTTTGTTACCCACCTAGCCCTCACTTGTTCTGACCACAGACCTCTCCTCATCTCCATAACATCCCTAGTTACCACTTCACCCCCACCCTCCTTTCAGGTACCTAGACATGTGGTCTACCCACCCTCTTTTCCATAACTGTATTGCCTCTAACTGGTTGGGTATTGAACACCCTGACCCTTTTATCAAGCTTAGCCTTCTGCATCATAAAACCAGCAAAGCCTTGAGGAGATGGGGTTGGGAAACATTTGGTAATGTGTTTTCCAATGTGTTGTCTACTGAAAAAGAGGTTGAGAGACTTGAGGCCGCTGCTCAAAATAACCTTGCCACTGAAACTGATCTGCTGACTGCCCAGTCTAATCTGATTAAAGCTATTGATATTCAGGATCTGATACTCAAACAAAAGGCTTCTATAAGTGGTTTCTCTGAGGGGACAGAAACACCAAGTTTTATCATGCCTACATAAGTTATAAGAGGAAATGTAATACCATACATTCCATAATCTGCAAGGATGGCAGGTGGCTGAATGATAATGATCTTATTGCAAAGGATGCTGTTAATTTCTACAGCTCTCTTTAAAACTCTTCTGTTGATCTTTATACTGAATATGATGATTTCTTTGCTGAAGAATCCAATTACACTGGTCAACTTAACCTCATTGAACCCCCTTCGGTTGAGGAAATTTGGCAAGCTTTAAGCAGTATTGATAGCTCTAAGGCAGCTGGCCCTGATGGTTTTACAGATGACTTCTACAAATAAACTTGGCACATCATTAAGGGGGAGGTGGTGGAGGCATTTTTGAGATTCTTTAAAGGAGTCAACCTCCCCAACTATTTCAGTAACACTTCTATTGTGCTAATCCCTAAAGGGGAATTACAAAAAACCTGGGAAAAACACAGGCCTATAAGCCTGACTTCTGTCATCAGCAAACTCATCAGCAAGATCATTGTGAGAAGGCTGCAACCTCACTTAGACAAAATCATATGCCCTAACCAAACTGCCTTTATTAAAGGTAGATCTATTAATGATAATGTGTTGTTGGCACAGGAACTCACTTTGGGTCTTGATAAAATCAGCAGAGGAGGAAACCTCATATACAAATTAGACATTAAAAAGGCCTATGATACCATTGACTGGAACTTTATCTTTGGTATGCTCACAACTAGAGGATTTCAGCATGAATTTAGAAATCTTATTCAAAGATGGCTTACCAATAATAACCACTCCATCCTTATCAATGGCCAACTCCAGGGGAATTTCACAGCTTCTAGAGCACTAAAGCAAGGTGATCCACTTTCTCCCACTATCTTTATTATTGTCATGGATTACTTTTCTAGAATGCTTGACAGGAACATTCTCAACAATCAATATTCCAGATTTCACCATAGATCCAATTTAGCTATCTCACATCTCATGTATGTTGATGACATAATGATATTCTCCAATGTTCATAAGCTAGCTGTGAAGAAGGTTTAAAATGCATACAACATTTTCAGAAACAATCTGGAATGGAATTTTGTCCTACTAAGTGCCAACTTATATTTAACAAGAGGACTTCTCCAAATACCAAGCACTGGATCTCCAGTTACACTGGCTTCTCCACTGCTAGGGAACCTGTAGGGTATCTGGGAGTTCAACTCATTAGGGGAAGATCAAAGTTGACTCAATTTGATGAGATCCTATAGAAAATTCAGAGAAATCTATCCAGTTGGTCTCATTCCTTCTTGTCTAATGGGGGAAGGATCACTCTTCTAAAAAGTATCCTGACAACCTTGCCCTCTTATATCCTTTAAACTAACTACCTCAAGAAAAGCACCCAAATCTAGTTGGAGAGAGTTTTTAACAGATTTTTATGGGCTGGTCAAAGAAAGCAGTTACACTGGGCTTCTTGGCAGAAGGTTTCCAAACCCATTTCAGCTGGTGGGTGGGGTTCAAGGGGCTCCAACAAGTTGTAAATATTAATTTCTGCAAGATGTGGATTCAATTCAGAGCACAAACTTCCTTGTGGGCAAAATTCATGTATGTTAAGTATTGTAAGGGAAAACACCCCTCCCTTATCAATAAAAAGCTGGGAGACTCCAAAATTTGGACAAACATGCTAAAATTCAGAGAGCAAGCTGAAGACATGTACATTTGGGATTTGGGGAATGGTAAAGTGAACTTTTTGCTTGACAACTTGTGTCCTAAAGACTGGATTGGGGCCCCCCCTCCAGATTTTAACCCTTAGCTCCTAGCCAGTGACTTCTGGGATGGGGACTCCTGGGATGTTCCTGAGCTCCAATCTCTCATTCAGGAGCCTCATTTATCTCTAGTCACTGGAATTGTGTTTGCTAAAGACAGAAAGGATAAGGTCATTTGGCAAAGTTACACTAACCAAAGCCTGGCCAAAGCAATTTATGCCAAGTTAAATCTCTGGGAGAATGTCAATTGGGGTGAGGTCATCTGGAACAGATTCCTATCCCCCTCCATTTATCCCCCTCCATTTCTCAGATTCCTATCCCCCTCCATTTCTTTCTTCTGCTGGAGATTCTTCAACAACCTCTTGCCCACTGATGATATTCAGAAACTTAAAGGATTAAGAGGACCCTCTAGATGTTATCTTTGTCTGAAAAGTGAGGATACATTCAACACCTATTTTTCAAATGTAAATTTGCTCAAGAGGTGTGGAAAGAGCTCCTTATTGGGATAAAGAAGGACCTTTTGGACAAGGACTAGACTAGTCTCTATGCTGTTTGGCATAGCTGGAGAAGTACACAGGAGGAGTCTGTCCCCTTCATTGTGGCTTGGTTCTTGTGGATGGGCGGGAACAGCAACAAAGGTTCTTGTGGATGGGTAGGAACAACAACAAACATGATGATAAGAGTATCCAAAACAACAAGGTAACCAGAAACTGTGTTGCCTATCTAAATAAAATTTCTCAGCTTAAGAACTGTCCTAGCTTAAATATGGCCCAGACCAGTAACACTATCAATCATAACGGAATTGAGACTGTCACTTAGAACCCTCCTGATAATCTAACCATGAAAATAAACACTGATGACAGCTTCTCTAAATGAGGTGCTGGGGTGGGAGGGGTTTTTAGAAACTCCACCAGTAATTGTCTACTTTTCTTCCATGCTCCCACTGTGGCAATTAATGCCCTTGAAGCTGAGCTTATTGCTATCTACTGGGCCCTTACTTTTGCAAAAAAGGCATCTTCGCAGAAACTCTGGATTGAGGTTGACTCTTCACAGCTTCTCTCTTTGTTGAGCTCTGATAAGCCATCCTCATGGCACCATATGCATTGGAAGAAAAAAATTGGCAATCTCTTCAAAAGTCTCACTATCCATATGTCCTTCATCTACAGAGAGGGTAACCAACCAGCCAACTGGCTTGTCAGACAAGGAACCTTTGCTAACTCTATTTCTGTTGATACAACACCTCCTACCCCCCTTGCCCTCCTACTTCACGGTGACAAGCTGAAGATCCCCCACCTCAGAGTCAAACCAAGGCCACTTAAAGAGTTTTAGTGCTTTTTTTGTTTGCTACTTTTGTTTTTTTTTCTTTTCATTTGTAACTTTTTTGGAAACTTTTGATCAAACTGATCCCATATCTTTCAAAGTTTAGATGAGAGATCACTACACCTCAAGCTGTGTATCTATCTTGTGAGATAGACACATGACTTGATAGTGAGGCTCAATCAAATAAATAAAGAAATGTATAACATACGTTTTGTCTACAAAACAATTTTATTATAAGCTAACAACTTCCCCTATATGATATAAAATTTTAAATAGGGTTTATATTAAGTTAGGTTCTTGAAAGTTTCCTATAAAGACAAGCCCTTATAGTTAATTACATCTTAGATAGTTGAAGACGTCTAAGAAAACTCTCGATAAAAATAAGGGAATATTATCTTCAGGAGTTTCAATGGATAGGTCTTTTCAAAGAGGTCAAACAAAGAGGTGTGAAAGGGGAGTGGTTCAAATTTGGAATATTATTTTTGGAATCTAAAGGAATAAGAACTAGGAGATTTCATGGATCCTAAGGATAACCTTGATAACTTCCCAAGCTATCCTACTATTTGGCTTTAATTTAGAGGAGATTTATTTGGCTTTAATTTAGAGGAGAAATATTTAAATGTTTCATCCTACAAATTTTATTAATTAGAACTTACATTCATATGAAACGATCACACAAATAGCCTTAAAGATGTGAGGATTTAGATTTTGATAAATGACAACATCGCAATCCTAAAATAGGTTAAGGCTTAAATTGTATAGCAGGGCTACACAAAGGCCTGAAGAAAAGTTAAGGATTGATGTTGCACTAGGCAAACAACCTCAAAATCCTATGGCTTATTTTTTAATTCTAAGGAATTTTTTAGTTGGTGTAGACATGTTTTGCTATTTAAGATGGTCATGCTGCCCACAATGCTAGCTCCAAGCTTGCTAGCTCCAAGCTCCTTGCAAGCTCCTTGTCATGGTGAGTTTAATTTTTCTAATGTGTCAAGTCATGATTTCAAATCAAGTGTTTCCTACGGTCATGGTTATTTAAATATTATGGGGGATGTTAAATTTGATTAGAGCAACACCAGTTAGGATCCACGGTTCCTTCATTCTGGTATCACTATTTTCTTTTAAATTTACTTAGCTTAAACAAGTTGTGAAACCCATTTAAACTAGGGCGATCTCGTTAACAACCATAGGTTACCTCCTCCGAGGGAATCCTGTAAACTTAAAAAGACATTTTATGTTTAGTCAAATTTCAAAGGATTTATGATTATCTTTGAAACAGTTTTTTTTAGGTTTTGAAAATGTTGATTAATTTTTGAAAAAGTTGTTTTGAATTTGCAAGTGAAGTAAATAACTCACCTCAAGGAATTTATAATAGAAAGTAAAATGACAAAAATTTGCAAGTGAAATTAAGTAACACTATTAAAGCGTACCTATCATCTTCTAGGCATTCCTCTTCTAGGCAATCCTGCTGAAAGATTAGATTTTACAAAATGTACATAGTCTTGCAGAAATTTAAATAAATTTCAAGAGTAGATGAAGGTGTATCTATAAACTCCGAACTATGATTTATTGAGTCCCAAAAGATCTTAATGAATGATTTTAGAACAAAATACAGTAAGTTCAATTTGTCCTTTAAAATATTCAACAGAATATAAAGTTTTCGAGGAATGGCCCTGAATTGCTTTAAAGGCCCCTTGAAATATTTGAGCTCATTTTGAACTTATCATATTATTCTACTAGTCATCCAAGGTCAAATTAAAATTACCCTATTACTCGGTAAACTTTGACATTTTAATCATCTTGAGGACAAAGTATTCAACTAATCAATTGATATTTTACTTAAAAGTTATGTAGGTGAATGTCCCTAAGGCAAGTTTCACTCATTAAGGACCATTGTACCCACCACTAAAGTTGGGCTTTGGGATGTTAATCATCAATCATATTATCTTCTAAATCCCATTAAATAAGTATTAAAATCAACCCTAGATCACCACCAAGCCCTTTAATAAATCTAATGAGAAAAAGATTAGCAAATATTAAAATTTTAATTTAGATGATATGGATTCTGATTAAAAGAAGTCATGTTATCATTAATTGTGGACTTAATCATAAGTGAAACATCATCTCCTTAGCTTAAGCCCATCACATAGAAATCATATAATCTTAATTAACTTCCAAATCTGATAATTAAGAAAATTCATAAATTTATTCTTATTATGGAAAAGGTGGCAAGTTAGTTTCTACCTTTTTCCCATTATATTTCAATCATCCAAACATATTCATTAAGATCAAAATTACCCATTTTCCCTTTGGTTAATCTTAAATTTTCATTAAGGAACCAAAAGCCTAAAATGACCACTTTACTCTTAGAACTCTTCACCTCATAACTTATGAAGCATAATTCAAGTGACTTAAGAGATTTTAGAATACCCTATCCATAGAGTAATTAAAACATTAGAGGAGAAAATTGTGATTTTTTTAAATTAATATTTAATTTAAATAATTATTTTAACCTAAAAAATAGGATTTTCAAAGTTAATTTATTTAATCAATCAAAATAAAGTTTTTATTTTATGAGAAAAGTATTAGAGATTCCCTTAAGTCAGAGAAAACACTTAGGTAAAATTCTATGTTTTTCTAATTTGTGTTTTAATTTAATTTTGTAATTATTTATTGGTTTTTTAATGATTTAATTAAATGGAAAATTTTATTTTAATTATCAAAAAAATTTTTTACAATTTTATTAAACCTCCCTAAGGCTAGAGAACTCAAAGAAAACAAATATTATATTTTTATGATTTTCAATTTAATTATAGTAATTATTTTAAGGAGAAAATAAGGGAAATACATTTTTAAGCATTTGGAGATTTATTTTTAGCTTAAAAAAATTAGGAAAAGTATTTTAATAAGTCCTAAATGATTAGGGAACCATTAGGAACATTTTGAAATATTTTTGTATTTTTGGAAATTTTAATTATTTTTATTGTTTTTAGTTCAAAATAAAGCTAAAAAATCAAGTAATTTATAAAAAATTACTTTTATTTTTTCTAAGTCTGCTAATCACAAGGAACTCACAAAACCACTTTTCATAATTTTCCTAAATGTATTTAATTTAATATAATTTTTTTGTTCAAAAATATAATGTGTCTTAAAAGATCAACTTTAGTGCTTAAACTTAATCAAATAATTCTGAAATTTTTACAATTGATTAAAATGATTTTTACACACAATGTAGAATTGAATTTTTATTATTATTTAATTTAAACTAATTAATAAAAGACATACACATTCAATTAATTATAGAAATTTACAAAATTATTTAAACCCTCATAATATTTTTTTTAAGCTTCTCTGACCATAAGAAACCTACTAAATATTGTCACATAATTTTTCAAGTGGTATTTCAATTTATATAATTAGATTAAGCATAGAGATGTCCTCTGACTTATGAAACATAGAGATGTCCTCTGCCTTATGAAAAATCAGAGAACAATCAGAGAACATAGTCTCTATCAAGAGGAACAAACCCTCAAAATTTTAAGCCATGGTGAGCAGAGCTTAGCCATAATGAATTAAAATACCACAGAGAGTATTTAATTAATTAAGAATCAAAGAGTTGTCAAATAATTTTTATTTTTGGTCCACATTATTCTCTTCTATTCACTGAGTAAGAGGGTTTTTTAAATTTATTTTTATGATTTTTCTATGAAAGAATATAAATTTTTCAATTTCTCATATTTAAATAAATCCAAAAAAATCCATATTTTTCTACTTAAACACGTGGTGCCACCTCAACCTCGCCAACTCCAAAGTCTCCATGCAACGCTCTACTATTCGCTGTCGCCAACCACGTAGCCGCCTCGTCAGCCTGCCTTTTTGTTCCATCCACTAGTCCAACGTGATCTCAACCGTCCATGATATAAATGCAAGATCAGATGGCATCCGTTTATCATCCTCAAGTGACCTAACCCGTAAATCCTTCACAATAAATCCTTATGATCTCGAGCTAGACTCAACCAAATCACTTCAAGTTTGTTCTTATACCTTCATCTACTCAAGATGAACATATCTATATGGCATATACGGTATGAAATATAGTAAATATGTATGGAGAATCAAATGAAGCTTCGTTTAGGGTTGATGCTCAATACCATTGTCTGAGAGGCGAGGCCTCAATCAGATGACTTTAGCAGCTTCAATTAGGTCCAAAAAACCTCTAGATGAAGTCTTATGCCCTGATTAATTAACTAGGTATGATTTCGATCAAAGTGGATTTTAGGTTTTGATCAAAATCTATGTTAGGGGCTCTCTGTTATGGGGCTTTGTGGGGAATTAACTCCTCTCACTCAGAGGATGGTGTGTGCATAATTAATTGGAGTTTG